GGGGAGGTAGCCGGTACACTAAGGGAAACAGGTGTGTCTGTGGGTAGCGTGTCCTGAGTGCCCAGTGGGCAGGCAGATGCTGGAGTGAGGCCGCGAGGGAAGGCGGCATGTGGGTGGTGGCGGCAGGGTGGGAGCATCTGGGGAAGGGAGGTCACTTCCGTTGACTGCCATCTCTGTGTCAGGCACTCAGCTGGTGCTTCCCAGCAGGCGGGCTCTCCCTCTCCCTCCCCTCCCTCCCTCCTCCCCCCTTCCCCCCCACTCTCTTGTTTTCATGAGTTTTAAAATCTTTTTTGGGGGTATAATTGACAAACAACATTAAGTTAGCTTCAGGTATACAACATTGATTCGGTATTTGTATATTTTGCAAAATGATCAACACGAGTCTCGTTAACATCTGTCACCATACGTAGTTACAACAAATTTTTTTCCTGTGATGAGGATTTTTAAATTTACGCTCCTAGCAACTCTTAAATATACACTACAGTTTATTCATTGTAGTCACCATGCTGTGCATCACACCCCCATGACTTACTTATTTTGTAACTGGATGTTTTTGCCTTTTGACCCCCTTTACCCATTTTGCCCAGCTCTCACCCCTGCCTCTGGCAACCACTAGTCTATTCTCTGAATCTGTGAGCTTGGGGGTTTTTTGTTGTCTGTTTTATAAACTCCACATGTGAGGTCATACGGTATTTGTCTTTCTCTTTCTGACTTATTTCACTTAGCATAATGCCCTCAAGGTCCAGCCATGTTGCTGCAAAAGATTCCATTCCTTTTTACGGCTGAATAGTATTCATTGTATATACATAACACAGCTCTTTATCCATCCCTCCGTCTCAGATACTTAGGTTGCTTCCATATCTTGGCTGCTAAAAATAATGCTGCAATTAAACATGGGTGCATATATCTTTTTGAATTAGTGGGGGGTTTTTTTGGAAAAATACCCAGAAGTGGAATTATTAGATCATATGGTAGATGTATGTTGAATTTTTTGAGGAACCTTCATACTTTTTTCCTTAGTGGCTACACCAATTTACATTCCCACCAGCAATGCACGAGGCTTCCCTTTTCTCCACATCCTTGCCAACATTTGTTACTGATAATAACCATTCTAACAGGTGTGAGGTGATATCTCATGGGCTTTTTAAAACTGTTTATTTATTATTTATTTATTTATTTGTTTATTTTGGCTGCGTCGGGTCTTAGTTGTGGCATGTGGGATCTTCCTTGTGGCATGTGGGATCTTTTTTTTTTTTTGGTTGCAGCATGCTTGCGGGATCTAGTTCCCAGACCAGGGATCGAACCCGGGCCCCCTGCGTTGGGAGCTCGGAGTCTTACCCACTGGACCACCAGGGAAGTCCCTCTCATTGTGGTTTTGATTTACATTTCCCGATGATTAGTAATGTAGAGCATCTTTTCATGTACCTGTTGGCTATCTGTATGTCTTCTGTGGGAAAATATGTATTCAGATCCTTTGCCCATTTTTAATTGGATTGTTTTTCCTTTGCTGTGCAGAAGCTTTTTAGTTTGTAGTCCCAGTTCTTTATTTTTGCTTTTGTTGCATTTGCTTTTGGTGTCAGATCTAAAAAACTATCACCAGTACTGATGTCAGGGAACTTACTGCATCTTAATTCTCAAAACTACTCAGAGGGATGTAGGAAATGTTTTACATTTTACAAAGGAGAAAATTTAATCTCAAAGAATTTTCTTCGCTCAAGAATATCAGTGGACTTCCCCAGTGGCACAGTGGTCAAGAATCCGCCTGCCATTGCAGGGGGACATGAGTTCGATCCCTGGTCCGGAAAGATCCCACATGCTGCGGAGCAACTAAGCCCGTGTGTCACAACTACTGACCCTGTGCTCTAGAGCCCGCGAGCCACAACTACTGAAGCCCGCGTGCTACAGTTACTGAAGCCCGTGCACCTAGAGCCCGTGCTCCGCAACAAGAGAAGCCACTGCAATGAGAAGCCCCCACTCGCCACAACTAGAGAAAGCCCACATGCAGCAATGGATGAATGAATGAATGGATAGATAGATAGATAGATAGATAGATAAAGAAAGAAAGAAGGGAGGGAGGGAAGGA